CCCGATTTAGGGTTTTCTTGGGGTTGATGTTAGTTGCGACTCTGTGTTAATGTATTCCATACAGTTTCCGGAGAAGTTCCCTTGGAGCCGGTGGTTTCTACGAAGTCAGGTTTACTCTTCGAGAGACGATTAATTGAAAGGCATATCTCGGTAAGCTTGGAGCTCTTCCTTCTGATTTTTTGAGAATCGATTTTTGTTGCATTTTTCACTTAGATTTCTCAATGCACTTGGTTACATACTCTCGTGGGAACTAACGAGATTCTTATTAGCCAGAAGATGAATTCATAGATTTCAATCATTGATTCTATATCTTGGCCATTGTCAACAATATTATCCCCAATTGGAGTCCTTTCGAATTATCAATCGACCTGGTAATGATTTCTTAAACATTCTTTCTGATGTAGGATTATGGGAAATGTCCGGTTACTGATGAACCACTTACCATTGATGACATTGTTCCCATCAAAACTGGGAAGGTAGTACAATTTTATCTCATTATTTTTTCTGTGTAGAACTGTTGAAGATATTTTACCAAGTTGTTTCAATTTCTTTGGCCATTGTGCAGATCATAAAGCCGAAAACCTTGCATACAGCTAGCATCCCTGGATTGCTTGGTACATTCCAGAATGTAAGCTTCTTATAGTTTTGCAACTTTGTTCCTTCATTTAATCTTGACTTTGTGCGTGTTTTTATGGGAGTTGAACTATGAACTTTCCCTCTGTCTGTTATTGGTCATATAGAGTTTGGCTGATCGATAGAGAATACATTATTCAGGGTTGGTCGTTTGCTTAATCAAGAAACATTGTTCATTAGTTAGGCTGAATTAGGAAAAAGTGGTTGCGTGAGAAGTTTATCTCTTTTGTTCTTCTAGGAATGGGATGGTTTGATGCTATCAAATTTTGCACTGGAGCAACAACTACATACTGCAAGGCAAGAGCTAAGTCACGCCTTGTATCAGGTAATTTTCGGTTGTGTGTTTGCTCTTTACTTAGGCATGATTAATGAATTTTTATTATGTACCCTACTTTTCTCTTCCTGAACCATTCATCTTTGTTAAGTGTTTTTGGTTGATTTATGGGATTAATTTTCTTTGCAGCATGATTCTGCTTGTCGTGTAATTGCCAGACTAAAAAAGGAAAGAGATGAAGCACGTCAATTGCTTGCAGAGGTTGAGAGACACATACCTGCAGCCCCAGAAGCTGTCACAGCTAATGCTGCTCTGAGTAACGGTAAACGAGGTATGATTTTGTACTTTTTACTCACAGTATGTTGGCTAATTAGTTCTCTCTTGTAACATGTTACTATGCCCTTTTTGTTGTATAATAGCTGCCGGTGAGGAAGGAGAACTGGGTCCTGATGTGAAGAAATTGTGTCCTGGAATTTCAGCAGAAATTATCACAGAATTGGCAGATTGTAATGCTGCTCTTTCCCAGAAGCGCAAAAAGCGACAGGTACTGCATTTGAAAGTTAGAAGGCAAGACCTGACAACTTGCTATTATGTTTTTGTTTGTTTGTTTGTACCTGTCAATCTCAACTGTATTAGTGGGTGCTTATGATTTATGATACTCAATACATCAATCTAGATCCTTCTATACTCAATACATCTACTTAGATCCTACCTGCAACTCTTTTCATTATTTTTCGCCTGCTCCTGCCAATTGAGAGCTGTACTTTGAAGCTTTTGCTGTTTTCTCTTTTTCTTGCATGGGCACCTGCTGTCTTGATGATTGTCATCATTTTTATTATAGATTCCTCAAACATTGGCTTCATTGGATGCTTTGGAGAGGTTCACTCAGCTCTCAAGCCACCCACTTCACAAGGCCAACAAACCGGGCATTAGCTCAATGGATATTCTACATTCTAAGGTTTCTCAGTGGTTGTTTATCTTATCTCATTACTTTATTCTTATTCCCCTCTCAGCATTATTTTCTTTCTTAAATCGGTAATCAGGATGTCATTGCTACCGGAGGAGTTGATGCAACTGTTGTTCTCTTTGATCGCCCTTCAGGACAAATCTTGTCAACTCTGACTGGTCACTCGAAGAAGGTCTCTAAATTTTTGCCTTAGGTTTCTGTTATACTTTTCTATGCAGCTGTGTGCTTTATCTGTGTTGTTCCTTTGTAGGTTACAAGCGTAAAATTTGTTGGTGACAGTGATATTGTCTTGACTGCTTCGGCTGACAAGGTAACTCAATATATGTTTACATACTTCAAATTTTATGAATAGTGTGTGGCCATTATTTCTGTAGGAATTTTGTTAGCCTGCATTGTGTTGTCTTTGTTTTTTAAAGTAGTAGCAGACATGTATTTGTTAACTTGAACTGTGAAATAGCGATGAAATCTTATTCTGTATATGTCTCACCATTAACCTCTCAGCAATATGTTGGAAACTCTATTCAATTTCTTAGAGGTTATACATCACCATTTGTTGGATAGGTATTGTTTATATTAGAACTGTAAACGAGTGACTTTTCCGCAGACAGTCCGAATCTGGAGGGATTCTGGGGAGGGGAAGTATGCTTGTGGGCATACATTGAACGATCATTCTGCAGAGGTAAGGATGAAATTTTGAAGTCGTAACAGTCAAGTGACATAATCTCCGTTTTATTAATGTGATGATGACGATGTTTCTTTTCAGGTGCGAGCTGTAACTGTGCATGCTACAAATAAGTACTTCGTATCAGCGTCTCTGGACAGCACATGGTGCTTCTACGACATGTCCTCTGGCTTGTGCCTTGCAAAGGTCCCTTAACCCTTTCTTCAAATAACCAACTAATACTGTCGTTAGCTTTGCCTCTATGCTATATTACAGAAATGAT